CTTCTTAAAAGATTTTTTTAAATCCTCTACGCTTGTAGATTTGAAGGGAAAAACCACAAGAAAAAAATAAAGAAAAAAAATAAGTTAAAGTTGGTGAACTTATTTTTTTTTATTAGCCAAAATGATATTTAGAGCTGCTTGGTATAACGATTAAAATTCAACATATAACGTATAGTAGGTAACAAGTAACAAAAAATAGTAACAAGTAGTGGGCGATAGATAACTGATGATAGATAGTAAAAAATGAGTAGCGGATAATAAATAACGAATTCGATAAATATAACTGTTTGATTATATAATAGTTAACTGTTGTTGTATAATATTAAATTACTAATAATGATGTGTTTAAAAACAATTAAGTGTATTTTTTTCTAAATTTTTTTTATTTATTATTATTAAAATTATTAATTTTATAAAAATAATAATAAGAAAATAAATAAATAAAATTAATTATAATAATCTAATTACACTTTCATTTTTATTTTTAACAAAAAAATTATATTATTTTTAAATAAAAATTAATCATTTTGTCTAATTAGTAAATTTTGTTTTTTAAGATAATATATTTTTTCATGATAAATTAATGTACAAAATAAAAATATTATAATCATTTAATGCTATTAAAGGAAAAAAAACAAAATTTAAACTTATTAGATAAATATTAATTAAAAAATATGACCAAAAATTAAAAAATTAAAATGGATAAATTTATTAATAAAATTAAAAACTTCCAATCCATTAATAGATTAATACAAAAAGCTACCTAAGCGAGCTTTTTTAATCTGCTAGCGATATGGACTCTAACCGCTATCCATTAGTCCCAAACTGTTAAATAAAAATCTTACCAAATACGTTGTTTGTAACGGTTTCGAGATATAAAAGTTTACCAAATATCTATACTTAGCAGTTTAGGTAAAATTGCTAACCACTGTCCCAAAACTACTATACCAAACGGACCCTTATATTAACTCGAAACTTAATATTGAGCTCGCTTACCTAAGTAGTTCATGGGTATGTATATACTCTTGAACTCGAAACTTCTTCTTCTTTTTTTTTTTTATCGAGATCAACTCATTTACCAAATAAGTCCTAAAATCATGCCGCTGCTTCTCCATTTCTTTATCTTCTTCAATTTTTTTCTTCAAATTTGACTTTCAGATTTGAGATTTTGCACTTGTTTTTAAAATGATGTATAGAGCATTTGCGATTACAAAATTTTTCTAACAAAATTTATGAATTGTGGGTATTTTGTAAAGGCCCTTGTTTT